TAATTTAGAAATATCAGGCAGCTCAAAGTTCATGTTAATCATCACTCATTCTATAATGATTGCTTCCCTTTTATTCAATCATTGCTAATAATTTTGCTCCCCTTCGTGGGAATCACTGCCAAGACTATAAGATTTTAGTAGCTTCTTCAGTCAACTTCTATTACGACCTCAAACAAAGATCATATACATTTTTACATGCATTAATATATCTAGTTAGAGCTGTAAATCAGAGATTTTCATGTGATTTCGAAAAGCAGAGTTTTTTCCCCCCAGATGAAATCTTACATAAGAACCTAACCATGTAAAATAGATAAAATATTTTATTAGAACACATTTATTTTATAGGTTCCAATTTATGATTTTTCTCATGCGTTCAGTCAATGAAGACTCAATACACTGGGTGATCAATCAAATATCAATATTTGGCAAATATGTATTAGAAATTTCAGAATGATAGAAAAGGAGATGGATTACTTGTGGACCCTCTGAATCACACCCATATTACACAGTTTAAAAATCTCTGCTCTAGATCAAAATTACTAGGCTCAGAAGAACTCATACCTGTGCCCTGTGCTTGCAATTACAATGTCATCTCCTGCTTTCCAAGTTACAGCTTCTTGTAAAGCCAAAATCCTTTCCCCTGCCTTGGCAGTCTGAGCCAAACGAGTCCAGACCACAGGAACAGGCAGACCTAGAACCCAACATGCAAATTGAGTTTTTCTTCAGTTTAGTGAGCTCTTAATGCACCTTAATCTTCTCCTGAATTTAATCAATTGCACTGCACCTTAGCATTTTGTATGTTTCTCAAAGAGGTATATACTCGTGCTATGTAAAAGTAAAAACTGTGTTTTTAATTACACATATGGTTCATAAAATATAAAGAAATATCCTTCTGTAACGATATACTCCATTTATGACAATTTTATTTACAATAACAATGTAACTGTTGTGTGGTAATATTGATAAAATGAACAGAGGCCTATTATCTTTGTCATTGCTGATAGAAATTGTTTAACTTAATGATGTAAAGGCAAATAAAATGTGGAAGTTCCTAAAGAATGACAGTCATATATTTAGCCCAATGCAAGACATCTGACATGCAGGACATGGTGACAGAGTATCATGCTTGTAACACTCTAAGGTTATAAAAGTGCTACATTATCAAAATATAGAAGACTTCTTCAATGTGAAAAAGATACGCACCATGCTTCTTTTAAGGAGTGAGTTCTCCTAATTCTTCAAATGTGGTCAAAATTATTTTTGTTTGCCGACATTTTTCCAGAGTATGTTTATAGAAAGGTAAAACTATACATGCTACTCTTTAAGAAGAGCTCATTTTTAGACACAAATGTAGGAAAGTACGAATTTCTGCTTGAGATTTGGTGACTTTTTATATGGATAAATGAATGAAATAAACAGACTGTCACAATATCCTATGAAAATGCTGAATTAGACAAAAGGTGTTTTTGATAGAAAGAAGGCTTGAGAAGAGGTCCCTGCAGTTAAGGGTATGAAGGGGCTGACCTGGCTCGTGTAAGGGCAGGGAGAGGTGAAAATAGGTGGAGAAGGAAAATGCAAAGATACAAGAAAGTCTGGCAAGTGCTCATTTAGACTGTGTCATCAGGACTACTATGTACTCTGGTTTCCTGGCTAATTTCTCCCTAAATACTGGCCACTGTACCATACCGTGGAGATCAAGGACACCCTCTCTCACGGCCAGCGTTTTGGCACCATATATAGGGAGCTCAGGAGATCGTAGGTGCCCATGCAAGGTAATGACAGCCTTGTGCTGAAATGGGGATGTTTCAGTCCCAATCTGAAAGAGATTCCACGAGCGTCATTCAGAAAACAAAAACCCAACATACACAATTATCATCATACGAAAGTAATTCTTTACTCTGTATCTCTCACTTTTGAAGTTTGATTTTTCAACTGTTCAGTATCCTTCTCCCAAAGGATAAGCCTTAAATCTTGTAGTCAGCCAAATACACCATGGTAACTTTTGGAAAGTATATCACAGAGCTCTTTTTTCCCCTTCTATTTTTTTTAACTCTTCCCTATGATAACACACCACTGTACTATCTTCCCATCAAAAGATCAAGAATACTTAAAAGAAACTTTTCCCCATCAGAAGGATTTTATACTAACAACAGAGACCTAAGTGAAGATAAACTTGGGAGAGGTTGGTCTGATGAAGTATCCATTTTATCCGTCACTGATGTGTGCCACGGAGTTGATTCTGACTCATAGCAATGCTATCGGACAGACTAGAACTGCCATATAGGGTTTCCTAGGCTGATGTATTTATGGGAGCAGATCAACAGGTCTTTTTTCCCACAGAGTGGCTGCTGGATTTGAACTCCTGCACTTTCATTTAGTAGCCGAGCACTTAACCATTGTGCCACCAAAGCTCCTTATTTTATACATTATATTTAAAAAAGAAATGGAGAAAGGTGAGGAAAGAAGAGATATCAAATTTTCTCAAATACCTGAAGAATGCCTCCATCTGTAATTAGGATATTTTCTGCCTGAAGTTCAATGTCAGCTTCATCAAATATTAGAGTTCCACCTATAAGTCACATAATTTTGAAATATAAAGAAAAGTATTGTTAAAAGTTACCCACTAAATTATACATTAAAATTTATTTTTCATTCCTGTCCTGCTATTGCTACGCATGTAATTTCACTTCAGCTCTTTGGCAACATGAAAGTATAAAAACTTTTAAGCAAGACCCAGAGAATTGAGAGAAAATATCAGGGTGGAGGCTTTTGCCTTGACCTTCTGTACTTGAACGCTATTAAATATAGCTACACAAATTCAACAAACTCCGGGCCTCAAAATATGAACTAAGAATTAAAACAATTAGAATTAAAGAAAAACTTTTTATAGAAGCCACTATAAAGTCAACATTAATTCTGACTTTTATCCCATAATTTGGACTAGCAACTGTTATATCTTGATTGGCATCATTAAAGAATGTACCGGGATAATATTTTTTGTGAGACTGATGTACATTTGTAGACAGTAACACTTTACTTATCCAAAAGTCCATTATTTAATAACTTCAAATATCAGAAATAACTGCTATTACCTCAGAAATTAAAACCAAAACAAAATGCAAGTGTCCTTGAGCAGCTAAAACCATTTTGGCAAAACTTATGCACTAAAGCATAAGTACTTTACTTTTGCCAATTGAAATTTGTCTTACATGCAATTATAACGGTCTTGTTTATTTGGTTTGCTATAATAAAAACAG